GGGGTTAGTGACCCCATCGCACGAAAAAACTAACCACTTAAGCTCTGCGCTGGGATTTAAAACGTCTTCTTTCAGAATAATTATGAGGTCTCATGATGACATCCGAATTCCTTAGAAATTCACAAGACCGACGCCCTTTCTAACAACAACAGTAACCATTCATTTGGGTACTTGGAACGTTCGAACATTATAGGAGACCGTAAGACTATTCCAATTTTCTGCACAAATGAAAAGATACAACCTGTAGGTGCTTGGAGTCAGTGATACGCAATTAAGGGCAGGTTGGGCAATTGAGACTTGCTTCAGGAGAGCTGCTGTTTTATGAAGACGAAGAAAAAGCCCAGGAAAGAGCATTTTGACGAATACTGGTTGGTGGCCTATACTTATTTGGGGGTAACATGAGTAATTAAGCAATTACCTTTCGAAGCGATCAAAAACACTCATTCATCCCACTTCTGGTGTCATACAAAACAAACTTAAAGGAGAATAGAATTCTAATAGATTTACATCTAAACTACTTGTATCCAGTAGTGTTTTCCTTCACATACAATTCTTTGAATATCTTAAGATTAGTGTATTACTGAGAAAATGGCATTACGTATTAGTTTTATGCTGCTCGTTATTATTTCTATTGATTAATGGTTCACTAAACACCTATAATCTTTGGAATTTGGAATTCCAAAATAATAGTAGTGACATTAATAATAATAATAATACCGATTGAACTTCAGATACAACTTTTGATCATATCCGCTTGATTCGAAAATATATAACAGAGAATTATTTCGGAAAATAGGTTATTCGACTAACCTAGATAACTAACTATAAAAGAATATTTACTAAATGATCAAGTACTTTATTAAAAAATTGTATAATTTACACTAATGTAAATACACGTTAAAATCATGAAAACAATAGTCCAGATGTAGTGCATGTTTAAAATGTTTTTTTTAAATATCGGGATAAGACTATTTATACCAGTTAAACTAATTAACAGTCAAACTATTTAATTTAACGGTGAATTTTAGTTGACAGTGATCAAGTATCTGTTATATCCGAACGTAGATTAACGTATTAGTAACTTAGAGAATACAATTTATTGGTGTGATGGGGTTGAGTGTGACTGTATATAAACCACGTTCACTTGATATACATGATTCGTATGGTGAGTCTGACTATTATGTTCTGAACTCAACGGAAGTAACTCAGGGCTTTTACTGTTGGATGCTGTGTCATTGGTTAGCTCAGAGATAAGGCCATAGAAATCGATATTCTGTTTTGGTGGTTTTATTTTGTGATACTGGAGAGAGGTCTATAGACCATAACAACACGATACAGTAATTTTAATAGTGATAAATATTTGTTAAAAGTATGATATACCGATGACTTAGAGTTAACCAGTCATTAAGCAGCGCGTATTTTGCGCGAAATTTAAAGTTCAAAGACAAATGATTTCTGTTATTATCTAAGATTGAAAAGTGAGCAATATCTCTCTATCTCAAAATGCTTGAAATCAATAAAAATTTCTATTATGCAACCAGAAAGTGAATTTAACATGGTGCTGAATGTAAATTACAAAACATACCTATTCCTAAGCAATATTTTGTTTTAAAGTACTTGTGATTGAATGCTTAGCCAAGACTGTTTAACATTAGCTAAATAGTTTTCTCCTCCTCTATCTCTTACTCAAAAATTCATTAACTCTTAGTTTCTCAGACTTCTAAACAGAAAGGTGAGCAACTATTGCATTATATCTGATGTCATTTTTTGATAAAAATCCTAACTCGCAACTCAGAACTGTAGATTAACTTTTCATACCGAAACCTAATCTTTTGTCACTGTAGCTGGTATGGTTTCGTGACGAAAGTCCATTGTATGATAGCCCTTATTCATAACATCAGCCGTACTCTTAATATGTAAACTTAACTTTTTTTTTACTGTAAGGAATAATTCAATATATGAGAGTTAATTCTACGGACACCTATTTCATAGCTTTAGGCTGTTAAGCGTTTCTTAAATAGGCAGAGTTTCCTAGTTGACTGACAGGTCAAGATCATCGTTATATTATAATTGTACTAGATTTTAATTATCTTTTGTTCAAATTTCAGAATTTCATCTTACATGGTTATAAAAAGAGAGAATCACAAAAGATTAAGAGCTCTATTACTTAATCACTTGATAGATAACAAGACATTACATCAAACAGAATCATAACCTCACCAGTGATTCATCATACTTCATCATCTACTGACAACAATTGAAACTATCGATCTCATTTATAAAATCACTGCCACTGCATACAGTTTCTTTCATTAAACACTATATTCAGTACACAAGTGACATTTACAAATGATCTAGTAGAGAATTGTGATGAAGATCTAACTAAAAAGAATCATTTTTTTTATTTTAAATCATACTTTTAATAAATATCTAAATCAACATTTCTTTTTTTTACTCTATAGAAGAGGTTTCATCAATATACATAGTGATTAGTGAGAATTTAATTTGATTCTATTGAGTATATTAACTACAATCAACGTTTGAAGACAAACAATGTGTTAATCATCGCTCACAATAAACTGATATTTTTAACATAAGGGGATTTGTGCAAACTTTTTTTGAATTTTATAGGGTACATCATCAACCCATTACATTAGTAATAATCATATCCTAAGTATTGACTTATTTCTAGGGGTAAATCTAAGAGTTCAAGTGAGAATTCATGAACATTGAATTATGATCATTTGATCTGTGAGGTATTTACTCACTGTCTCTATTGGAAGATGACTGGTAATGTAGTGAACTGATAAGATTTATAAGACGTAACTCATTAGGTCTCAACTTAGTGATCTAAAGGATAAGCACTCACTTCAATATCTAAAAATCCATGGTTCGATTGCCTGTGGAGTCACAATTTCTCAGTGCTGAGTCTCATAAGTTGTTGAGAAGGCCACCTAGTGATTTTCAGTGTAGAATGATTGTCTAGTTCAGTTCCTGATGTGAACGATAAGACCGTCGTTATATTATATTACTGAGTGATTAAAAATTATTATTATTATATACATGGATGGATCACTGAAGGAATACTTGACTGTCTTGTAGGTGAAACAGATGAAATTCCCAACCAACATAAAACACTTTCAGAAGAAGTATTCTGATCCTTAGTACTTTCTACTCGCAACATACTAATGCTACTTTCTCCTTAAGTTCCACTTGATATAACAAAGCTTGTCTAGGTGTATATATGTCCGGTGGTTTTTTAAAGAAAACAAAAATAAAGATTTTAGCAAAATAAAACAAATTCACGCATCAAAACAATAGTTTCAAAATCTAAACTACAAAATGGGTTTAAAATACATAACTGGATTTCATTGGAATTTGTTATTAACGTATATCTAACATAGTTTAGCAACAATATATATATATATATATATATATATATATATATATATGCATGCGCTCTACTGGTGAGTACCATACAAGGACGAAACGGCTGTCCAGCGCTTACAGGTTTCTAAAGATGGTCTAACATTGATTGGTTCATGATTTCAGTGAGTAACTTAACAATCTCCACAACCTCATAATGCAATATATATATAACTGTAATTTCCTTTGAGTAACCAATAAGGTAGAGTGTAAATTTAAACCTTAACCCTGGAAAATCCCTTAGAGTTACAAATTCAAATAGAATTCATTAGTTGATCTACAAATATCAAAGTAATAAAATCACCATTGAGTCAGTATGTGATTTAGAATTTACAAGTCTAAAATTTCCATTTTTAATTGGTCGGTTTTCTAGAGTACATATATACAGAAAGTACCAGCTTGACTTTCTCGATAGATGAATACAAGTACTAAAAATTTGTAAATATATCACACTAGAATGAAATGATGAATAATTTATCATGAATTTCTCTGTGCAAGAAACACTAAAAGTCACTAATGAGTTACATGTATCACTCTATCGTTATATTTCACTATTGACAAATCTAACATCCTATTACTGCGGATGATGTGAGTCGAATTCAGTTTATGGAAAGAAAACTTGAAATTTAGTGTTTACGTTTTTACGTTATTAGTTGGCCAGTATAATCGTAAAGCTTTCCTGGTTGCTCTAGACATCGTCAGCATCTATACTCATGCAGAATAAGAGTTGTTTGTTAATCGAACAAACCCTAAATCGATAGGTTTCGATCACCTTGTCTACGAGGGGTTCTCTTAAGAGGTATTGTTAGATACAGTTATCTTTGTACTCCTATTGACAGTCAATAATTTTATCCCATCGGTTAGAAGATACAACACAAAAGAAAACCATTCACTCGAGCAAAATACACATTCTCCAGTATTTCAAAACTTAAAAAGAAAACTCTGGTTACAGATCCACTCTATTTGAACAATGTACATATATTAAATTTGAAATCATGAATCGACCAAAGTTAGACCACCATTAGAAACCTGGAAGCACTGGATAACCCTTAAGTCTTGGTATGGGACCCATCAGCAGTGCGCATCCACGACACCGGCACCTCGCAGGATTTGAAACCAGGACCTTCGATTTTGAGCGCGGACGTCTATGCTGGCATCCGACGGTGTTAATGTCTAACTGTGATCAATTCACGGAGTTGCGCAACCTCATACACTGTCTTCAGTAGTTACTGTCTACACCCAAACAGGTTGAACTCCACTGTTCACGAATCCCTGGGTTCAAATCCTGCAAGGTGCAGAAGTCGTAGGTGCGCACTGATGATGTGTCCCATACCAGGATGAAACGGCTGTCCTTCAATGCTTCCAGGTTTCCCATGGTAGTCTAACTTTGGTCGATTTATGATTTCAAATGTGTAACTTAACAATCTTCAAAACCCCGTAATATATTAGATTACAAATCATTCACACTGATTAATCTAATATTCATTATTAACTTAATTGATACAAAGTCTTATTCATAAATGAATACATACAGTAAGACAGTGTCAATGATTCATTAAAAAAAATAAACTTACTTATTCTTCTTGTTAAATCATATTCTTCCCATTGAGCTTCTGTAGTTGGCATTTTTTCATTATCTGCCAATGGAATTGTTCCATGTACCCAACAATAATTAGCAAGATAATCATTAAAATTTTCACCAGCTGGTTTTACTGGTATATAACATGAAATAGAATTTAATAAATATTGTTTTGTTGAAACAACAATACAAGTGATCAGTAATAAAATCACAGTGAATAAATTCAATCGATCAGCGAAATCTTCCACTGTGGAACGTTGTGCTAATGATATGGAATTGAATAGATCGATGAATTCCTGAGCTACCATTCTTTAATTTTTCCTACTTTTTATGTGTTTTTTTATTGATCCGAATGAAATATTAAACGAAAAGTTTGGCGGGAATAATTAGTTCAGAAAGTTTATATATGTAACAAAAAAGAATGTTAGATTATTAGAAAAAAACTGTATATGTGTGACTGGTTCAAGCCGGTGAGATGTTGATTTTTTTTTGGTTATTTTGAATTAATTTTACGTGTAATGTGCTAACATTTTAAACCAATCATAAGAAGGTGTGAAATTATCCAATGAGAGAACAGCTAGGATAGTCCATATCATAAAATTTTAACTCACAAGTTATCTTATCTATACGGTATGTAGTACGGTGACATTTTTTTGTACACAGTGTTGCATATATGTTGAGTTGATTTAAGCATTATCTTGATTTCAACCTCTATTAAGGTCATGCATGCAAACTTTTGAGAAGTCTGTAAATAGGTTGTAACAGACATCTATCTCATGTATCCTGGATTTAAATACATTCTTTGTTATGAAACCATAAATTCAACAATCTGCATAATCGAATGGTACTAAGAAATCAATCATAAAATTACCATGGACTAATTTCGAAAGATATTTTATGGCCTCTATCGAGCCCTTAATTTGTATCTTTTCTAGAATTTATATCATTTTGAGATTTACAAAGCAACTGAATGTTGGGTACGTCTGATTCCCACTTAGAAAAGGTTCCAATTTTGTAATATTATTCTGGAAATTTTGAATTGCATTGTTTTCGTGCCAAGAGACGCTTAGTTAACATAAAGCTTTCATTTACCACTCGGAAATCGCTGACTGTCATTTGTTTAGGGATTATTTTAGTACGCTATTTTGTGGCTCTCACCAATAGCGTTTCATCACTGTATAAATACGCTTGAATAGTGTGCTTATGGACCTCGTACTTTCTGGTTGCCTGTCGAATACATTCGCTACTCCTTATCAAGACTTCTTACTCTAGTTAGCCGGGCCGAAAACAACCTGATTAGAATAGCCTATCGTAACACTGCATCATTTATCTGCGCTCTGTTTAATTAGTAAAGTTAACTCGTAATAGTTTCAAGCATATCAATGAATTTATGCTTTTCAATGTTACTGCATTAATATTTATTTTGCTAATCCCGAAAAGTAGCCTCTATTGTGTTTCAGTTTACTCATTTCAAACTTTAACCTTTATTTGCACATTGAAATCTTCAGTCAATCATTGTTAGAATACCACTAGAAACCTGGAAGAACAGAAGGACGGTACGGGACTCATCAGCAGTGCGTATCCACGACTCCTGCATCTCACAGGATTCAAACCAAGGACTGACTTTCAATCTTTAGTAAGAACGCCTAATAGCTGAACCACTCGGCCGAAAACCAACGATGTTTAACCCCAAATCCGATCAGATTACAGATTTCAACTTTCTGTCAACTAAAAATTTCAATTTATCATCGTAAAATATCACATGATGAGAACAGAACACAGTGTCTATCGTTTCGCGCGAACTTCTAACATCTAGATAGCTGTCTATATGTTTATCTTTAATCAGTTGACAATAGTTCTTCGATTGCCTGAGGTACAGACAGACAGATAACTGTCATACAGGCGACACATATAAATGCTACTGGTCACGAAAGACCAGTGTTTTCTGCTTTTCAGTAGATATCGATTGATAAAATCAAATGATCTAGTTCTTCATTGACACTGTAATCGTAAGACAAGCAACCATTTTTCACATTTCTCCAATAAGCTACTTTTTTTTATCACACTGATGATGTGTTACATAATTTTTATTCTATACTTGACAAGATTTGATTACTTTGTTGAGTGACGTAATACCCTACTATTTTATTATAGATTGTTATATTTATTACGTGAAAACATTTGATGATTTTGACAAATTTTGCTAAATGATGCAATAAATTTTCTATCTTATTATCATCTGACAAGTAGACTGAGTCATGTTGGTAAGTGTAGACTACCTGGTTGGGATCCACGAGATGATAGTAATCAATGGTTAGAGACCTTAAACGACATGGCTCATTGTATATATAAGCTTGAGTTGTGTGCTTATGGACCTCGTAATTTTTGGTTGTCTGTCGAATGCATTCTCTACTCCTTATCAGGACTTCTTGATATAGTTAGCATGGCCTGGGACAATCGGATTAGAATAGCCTATCGTGTCACTGCATCATTTATCTGCGCTGCATTTACCGAGTAAGGTAGTGAAATTGTAAAGCTTTCAAGCTTATCAATGAATTAATGCTTTTCAATGTTACTGTATTAATATTTATTGTGCTAATCCTAAATCGAAACATCAATTTTGTTTCAGTTAACTGATTTCAAACTTTATTCTTTCTGTTAGCTAGAAATTTCAAGTTATCATCGCGAACTTCTAACCTCTGTATCGCTGTATATCTGTTTGACTTCAATCAGTTGACGATATTACTGCACCAACTTCCATTGCCCAAGGTAGATAACTGTCGTACAGCCAGCCAACACATATAAATGCTACTGGTCACGAAAGACCAATGCTTTCTGCTTTTCAACAGATACTTAACTTAGATCGATTCATAAAATCAAATGATATTCATCGACTTTGTAATCGTAAGATAACCAACCATCTTCTTCACATTTCTCCAATAAGCTATTTTTTTATCACACTGATGATGTGTTACATAATTTTTATTCTATGCTTGACAAGATTTGATTACTTTGTTGAGTGACGTAATACCCTACTATTTTATTATAGGTTGTTATATATATATTACTTGAAAACATTTGATAATTTTGACAAATCTTGTTAAATTACGCAATATCTTTCTATCTTATTATCATCTGACAAGTAGACTGAGTCATGTTGGTAAGTGTAGACTACCTGGTTGGGATCCGTGAGATGATAGTAATTGATGGTTAGAGACCTTGAACGACATTGCCCGAGGTAGATAACTGTCGTATAGCCAGCCAACACATATAAATGCTACTGGTCACGAAAGACCAGTGCTTTCTGGTTTCAATAGATATTTAACTGAGATCAATTCATAAAATCAAATGATCTTCATCGACTTTGTAATCGTAAGATAACCAATCATCTTTCATATTTCTCCAATAAGCTATTTTTTTATCACACTGATGATGTGTTACATAATTCTTATTGTATACTTGACAAGATTTGATTACTTTGTTGAGTGACGTAATACCCTACTATTTAATTATAGATTGTTATATTTATTACTTACAAATTTTGCTAAATGATGCAATATCTTTCTAACTTATTATTATCTGACGAGTAGACTGAGTCATGTTGGTAAGTGTAGACTACGTGGTTGGGATCCGCGAGATGATAGTAATCGATGGTTAGAGACCTTGAACCACATGGCTCATTGTATATATAAGCTTGATTTGTGTGCTCGTCGACCTCGTACTTTCTGTTTGCCTGTGGATTACATTCCCTACGCCTTATCAAGACTTTTTGCTCTAGTTAGCAGAGTCGGGGACCATTGGATTAGAGTAGCCAATCACGTCACTGCATCATTTATCTGCGCTCCATTTATCGAGTAAGGTGAAATTGTAAAGCTTTCAAGCTGGAGAACATCTACAATCAGATCAACAACGTCTTTGATGACATCAAATTCACGATGGAAAAGGAATCAAACAACAGCCTATCATTCCTGGATGTACTAATCACCAGAACTAACACAGGAAAACTAGAAACTCAAGTACTTCGGAAGCCAACCCACACCGACGTAATTCTCAACTACGACAGCAACAACCCAAGAACCCACAAGATTAACTGCATACAAACTCTGTTCAAGAGAGCGAAGACACACTGCAGCACATACGAAACATTAAAAAACGAGGAAAAACATCTGATGACTATCTTCCAAAAGAACGGCTATCCACGCAACTTCGTCAAAAAACATCAACCAAAACTATCATCAGGAGTGAAATCAAGCACAGGAACAAATAAACGCATCTTCCTACCATACATCAAAGACATATCAGAGCATACGGCACGACTACTGAAACCATTTGGAATAGGTGTGGCACACAAACCAACGGAATCACTTCAGTCAATCCTATGTAGACCAAAGGACAAAATGACAAAGGAAGAAAAACCAAATATCATCTACAAAATAAATTGCTCAAATTGTGAAAAACACTACATAGGACAAAGTGGACGACCTCTTCAGCTCCGTTTACGTGAACATCAATTAGCAGTCAAACGCCACGACAACGCTTCGCTTATATCAATACACACCGACAATTATGGACACACATTTGATTGGAACAACGTGGAAATACTAGGTAGGGGGAGGACAAAGAACACTAGAGAATTTTTAGAAGCTTGGCACTCAGGTCAATCAGCAATCAACAAACACATCGACATTGACCCAATTTATCAACCAATCAGGAAAATCATAGGTGACACTAGATCAAGAAACAGATCAAAAGAGGGAGGCAATCAAAACATAGTTGCAAACAACGACAGGTCAAAGGTCAACAACAACCAATCAAGATCGAGGTTAGCAGAACAAGCTACAGGTCAAACGTGGAGAAATTCTAATGCTTCACTTCTATCTGAAGTTCGTGCTGATGATGTTGTTCAGAAGAACAATGAAAGCTCCACAACCAAAACAACCAGCTCAGAGAACAAAACACCACCACAATCATCCGCCTGAGCTACAAGTTTTCTCCACCATCTGCTTTCAAGCATATCAATGAATTAATGCTTTTCAATTTTACTGCATTATTATTTATTGTGCTAATCCTAAATCGAAACATCAATTTTGTTTCAGTTAACTGATTTCAAACTTTATTCTTTCTGTTAGCTAGAAATTTCAAGTTATCATCGCGAACTTCTAACCTCTGTATCGCTGTATATCTGTTTGACTTCAATCAGTTGACGATATTACTTCACCAACTTCCATTGCCCAAGGTAGATAACTGTCGTACAGCCAGCCAACACATATAAATGCTACTGGTCACGAAAGACCAATGCTTTCTGCTTTTCAACAGATACTTAACTTAGATCGATTCATAAAATCAAATGATATTCATCGACTTTGTAATCGTAAGATAACCAATCATCTTTCACATTTCTCCAATAAGCTATTTTTTTATCACACTGATGATGTGTTACATAATTTTTATTCTATGCTTGACAAGATTTGATTA